GGGCTGGCCGTCTGCTAAGGAGACCAACAGGAAGGCACATAGATACGCCATTTTCCACAGAAACAACAACTCAGGGTTGGAATCGGTGGTCTGCTTTTGTCTTGAGACTCAGTTACTATTACCGCTTCTGCTGGCTACCAGTTATTGAGCGCCTACTTATGCCACCTTCTAACGACCTGATGAGCAGGCATGATCAGCTCTGTTTACGGAAGAGCAAAACCAAGATATGGGAGGTTAAGTAACTTATCCAAGCACCACAGATGGTAGGTGACGGACCTCGGGTTCAACGGCAGACCTGTCTACACCAGTGTCAGAGTTCTCAAGCTCCATAAACCACTTCCCATCTGTGGGTCTTTGTTCCCTCACCTGCAGAGCATAGGTTAATAATTCCTATTATAACTCCTCTGGGGGAGGCCGCGAGGGTCCAGGCAGATCCTGATGCAAAAGCGTGTTTCCGTTGTAAATTGTTAGTTTTGTTTATGAATAATTAAGGCAAAGATCAGGGCAGCCCAGGGGAGACATCAGATGGCAACAAATCTGGATGGTGGGTTGGGGGAGGAAAAAAAATATCCCAGGGCCGTAGATTCAGGTCCTCGAACAGGTAGGTGGCGCCACTGAGCACCCGGGTGGAAGGAGAAATGTTGCATTTGTTGAGCATTTACTGTATTCCAGGCTACACGCTCAACACACAGTATGCCGCTTGGTTCTCACAAATGAAATGATAGCTATTTTAATCCCATTTTACAGATGAGGAAGCTGAGGCTCAGAGAAGCCAAGTGATCTGCCTGAGATGGTTATGCAGAGAGGAAATGGCAGGATTCTAATGCACGTACATGGCTCCAAAGGCTCTACTCATCATGGGGATCTTAACCATAGCCTTAAACCCTCCTCATGGATCACACCCATCTCCAGCGGGATATGAAAGTACCTTAATGATCAGCATTGGGCGCCTGGGTGGCTCAGTTGGTTAAGTGACTGCCTTCGGCTCAGGTCATGATCCTGGAGTCCTGGGATCGAGTCCTGCATCGGGC